TAAATCCTAGAATTCATGACCAGATGGACATATAAATATTGATGAAATTTTTTTTTTTTCAAGCACGTAACCTTACCCGTTATGTGATGACGATAATGATGAGAATTGAGTTTTGAACAGCTGTACGATTTTTTTTTTCGGTCTAAGTTATATATACGCATATGAAAAAGAGAGACGAGAAAAAGACAGTTGATACGATGCAGACACCATACGCGCGCGTGTGTGCAACTTAACTGTTGCTGTTTTTGCTTCCGACATTGAAAAGATGGGATGTGTGTGTGCGCAACTGTGCAACGTATCTATCTTTCTATCTGACATGTGTGTGCCTGTATGGACATTTGTATGGTACTGGTTTATGTTCGAATCAAAAAAAAAAAAAAGAAAAGAAAACGAGCTAACTTACCCAATATCGTTACAAGTGGACTATTGCTGATGCTTGATCGTGATATTATACATTGAAGGGATAGATATATGTAAACAGGATGATTTATCTGCTGTTACTATCGTTGCTTTTTCCTCTTCTCTTCCCCTCTCTCTCTCTCTCTCTCTCGTTTTTCTTCTGCTATTTGATTGGGACAGATAATGAGCGTCTCCATCGTTCTCTTTCTCTCTTGTTTCTATCATCACCAGAGGGAGATTTCATGCTCGATTGAAGACCAATTTCCTTTTTCTCTTTTTTGTCTTTATTCCATCAGGTGTTGCCGGTCTCTTGCTGTTTGTTTATATGAGAATCATCGTGCAAGCATTAACATGTAAATTGCCCATAGTATACAGCACCTGCAATAGCTTCTTGACATCATTCGACAACAAACGAAAGAAAAAAAAAAAAGAAAAGATAGATAGCTAGAAGAGATAAGAATGACATACAAGCGTATAACATATATTTTCAAAATAGAAAGAAGATACTTTTATTCACAATAAATTTACGTTGATAAAGAAACAAAAAAAAAAGACAAACCGCAATTATAAAATATCTATTTTTAGATATAAAAATTTGGCGTTTTCTTTTTTTTAAACAAAAATTCTGAATGAGTAAATTAGCAGATAATTTGAACACTATTCTCCAACGTATTAAAGAATTATCTGAATTGAATCAAACATCAGTTCGTTTAATAGCTATATCAAAAACAAAACCAGTTGAAGATATTATTGAACTTTATCACGCTGGTCAACGTTATTTTGGAGAGAATTATGTTGATGAATTAGAAAAAAAATCAAATGATAATTTAATTCTAACACAATGTTCAGATATACGTTGGCATTTTGTTGGTCATTTACAAAGTAATAAAATAAATCGTATATTAACACGTGTACCTAATCTTGATTGTATTCAAACAATTGATTCAATTGAATTAGCTGATCGTTTAAATAATAATCTTCAAAAACAATCAAAAATATTAAATATTCTTATACAAATAAATACAAGTAATGAACAACAAAAATCTGGTATTGAACAAAAAGATTTTTTATCTTTATATGAACATATTAAATTAAATTGTACACAATTAATATGTCAAGGTTTAATGACAATTGGTTCATTAGATAATGTTAATACAGAAGATGAGTCTGATTTTCAAGTATTAATTCAATGTCGAAAAGAATTATGTGATAAATATAATTTTTCAATAAATGATATAGAACTTTCTATGGGAATGTCAAATGATTATGAACGTGCTATTCAAGTTGGAAGTACTATTGTTCGTGTTGGTAGTTTGATATTTGGTGTTCGTCATTGATCTCTTTGTTTGATTATTTATTTAAAAAAAAAAAAAGAAAAAAAATAATTAAAGTTTTTTTTAATTCTTTTTTTGTTTTTATTTTAGATTATTTATGGAATTCAGTGATGCAGATCCAGCATTTCGAGCTCGATTTTTGGAGCCAAAATTCGAACCGGAATCATTTGTACAATCGATTGGTAAATTAAAAAAAACTTTTTTCTTTGGAAATTTTTATCTATCTTATTTGTTTGTTTTTTTAGCATCAAAATCGATTGGTAGTACAGATTTAATGAATATGAAACGACGTATGCATCTTATTTCTAGTGAAACTAAAACTGAATTGAAACAAAATGTTTATCGTAACCATACAAAATTTATTGAAACGGCTAAAGAAGTTTCATCACTTGAATCAGAAGTTTATCAATTACATTCATTATTAGCTGATGAAAAACAATTACTAAATACAGTGAAAGAATTATTAAATGTCGAAAATAAGGTGAGGGAAAAAAAATGAATACAAAAAACAAAAGTTATGATTCAAATTACCAATTTTGACAGAACAATATTTGGAGATCTTACGAATATGAACGAAGTCAAAATGAATTTGAACTCTAACTGATTTTAAATCTCTATGGATGTATTAAATATTTCCTCGAGAAATGAAAGATTATGGATTTATATAGATGTCTTTGATGTAGTCTAATTTTTTAAAGAATCTTTCAATTCGAAATAAATAAAAAACATTGTATTTCATGAAACACGATATAAAAGGAGCGCTAAAGTATAGAGTTAGATATTTGGATCTCCATCTACCACGGTCGCGACAGACACGTTAGAAGTAGCTCATCACAGACTGTGACAGATACCTTGGTAACATTCTCTTCTCTTCGTCAAAGACTGTGACACATGCCTCGATAGCAACACTCCTCCTTCTCCATCAAAAATCGTGACAGATACCTTGGCAACTCTCCTTCTTTTCCGTCACAGACCGTGACAGACGTTGTTGATATATAATCGCAGACCATATATCAATAATGTCTCATTATAATATATGAGCCACTTTCACATTACATTTCTGAAGGATTAAGTAAAAAGATGGTGGAGAAGCACGTCCCAAACTAGATAATATAAAACAATTTATCTGTGATTAGCAATAGCAGTTACATCATGTTTCACATTTTGAATTCTGCAAAGATTGTGCTAACAGCTTGTTTTTAAATGTAAATAATTAATTAACATTCTCTAGATGTTCTTCTTTTTTATACAATTATCTTATGTATAAACTATGCTATTTATGAAAGAACACGAAAAGCTTACACACAAAGATATGATAAAAATCATGTATATTTCTAAAAAGACTCATTGCTATTTTTCATATATTCTATAGTTTTATGTGAAAAAAAAGTTGATTCCTAAATCAACATATTCTCAGAAAAAAACAATGATTTTTCTTTAAATCCAACTGTCTATTTTATCAGATGAAACATTTCATCCTATACAGTTAATTAGACATATTGAATTAAATATATAATTGTGATAACATTTATTTCATAGTTGATTTTGAAAATTTTTAGACTGATTCAAATGATACATCAGATAATGATTTTTGGGAAACACTTTTACATCATTGTCAAAGTTTGGGTCTTGTTGCATCAAATTCTGAACGTCGTTTAATTCATAGTGGTAAATTACTTGAAGTTAAATTAGAGAATATATCAACAAAAAATCAAAATAAAGGAAATACACATACTAAACTACCAGCATCATTTGTTACACATCAATGTTATGGTCTTTTATTTACTGATTGTTTTATAATTGCTAAATCATCAAATATTCGTACAGCAACAGCATATGATGTTGATCAAGTTTTAAAATTACATCAAACATCAACTGGTATAAGTAATGATCGTAATACAGATCAACATAAACACATTCAACCATCAGCAATACAAATAATAAATGTTAAAGATGATGTAATACGTAATTCATTTTCAATAAAACATAATCTTGAAACATTAACTATGATGTGTGAAAATGCTCAAAGTAAAAAACATTGGCTTGAAATGTTTGAAAGTGCACTTTATCCTCGACAACGACGTGGTTCATTACTTTATACTGATTCAGGATTTTTATCATCATCAGCAGCACCATCATCATCATCATCATCATCAGCTAGTAATCGATCAACTGTTCAACAACAACAACAACAGCAAATATTTGAAGAAGAATTTTATTCGGAAGATTGGATAACAAATACACAAGAAAATTTAATTATTTTATTAGCTGAAAGAAATTTTGATGAAGCATTAGCATTAATTCTTCGTGCAAGAAAATATGCTCAAGAATTTCTTGTACAACATTCTCAACAAGCAGTACCATTTGTTGATGAATATATCAAAAGTGTACGAATGAAAGAACAAGAATTATGTAAATTAATTGAAAAAGAAATTCAAAATATTTGTGAACGAGGTTGTTCAACAAATTTATTAAAACATTATTATCATCATATACAAACACTTAAACAACTTGGTCATGTTCCCAAAGCTTGGTAAATTATTTTTTTTCTTTTAAGAAAAAGTCTTCTAGAACTTTATTAAAATATTTTCTACATACTTAGATCCTCAAATATGATATCTAATGCTATTGTGTAATCATTTTATTCTAAATGAATGCAGTTTAATATTCTTTCAAAGAATTAGTTCAGTTTGTTTATGTCTAGCAGTCAATATGAAGTAAAAAAATAATAACATAGTTTAACAATAAACATTTATTATAGTTGTTGTTAGAGATATGTAGGACCAAGTTTTTTTGGTTCCAGTCCCGGTTATAGTTTCAGTCAATCTAATCTAATCTAATCTAATCTCGGTCTTGTTCTAGAGAAAATTATTCCAGAATTGATTTGTATCACGTCTGTATAAATTATTCAATACTTGTTATTTATTTATTTAATCGACGATAAGCATTTTTTGTGTCATCTCTCTTGAATTATGTTTTTTGATTGATATGATTTATAAGATAATTCGCTTAAAATCATAGAATATTTAACTATAGTCTTCAGTTTCAATTGGAATAACTTTTTTCTCCTAGTCCTAGTCATGGTTTTGGCAATTTCTCTTTTCTGTAGTTTTGATCCTGCACATATCTAGTCATTATTCTGATCTTTTAATTTTCAAAATTTTGCATGAGTTTTATCTGTTATTTCAAAGTAGAAGATTTTTAAATAGTATTTATCTTCGAGTTCTTTGAGATGTAAATAATATTATAGTTCCATACAAAATAATTCGAAAAAAAGACTTAAGTTTTATAAACAAGTTTTTTTGTTAATTGTAATTTATTTTTAGTGATTTATTCATTACAATTCAATTATCTTTAATGAAAAGTACACTTAAACAAACAAAATTAGAAGAATTAAATGTTGTTTTTGTCGAAAATTTTGCTAATACATTTTTTACTCGTCTTGTTGATAGTTATTATGAATTTGTTCAAATTTTTAAAGATCAAAGATCGACATTTACAAAATTTATTGTATGGATGTCAACAGAAATAGAAAAATTAATAACAATCTTACATAATCAACAATATATCAGTACAAAAAATTTTAATTTTACCATGAAAAATATTGATATATTATTAACAAAAGCAAATGAATTTTCATCAAAATTGATTGATGTTAAATTTATGTTTGAAGAACAACTCGAACAATTATTAATACAAATAATAAGTACACAAAAAGATGTTATTATTGATACATTACGACAAAGACATCGTGATGAAAAATGGATACCAATTACATTACCAAGTCATGAACGTGTTGAACAGTTATATTTTGAATTTCATGAATTAGGTCTTGATAGTCAAAAATTTCTTCAACCATTCATAGCAATAAATAATGATATAATACAAATACATTTAGCACCCAGTACATTACAATTTGCTAAAGCTTATTTAACATTTTCACGTGATCTATTTAAAATTCATTATTCTTTAATTAATCAAACAATTGTTGAAGCTCTTGTAGAATTAATTAAATTACATTTAAAATATTATGAACGTGCACTACAAAAATTGCAAAATACGAATGAAAGACAATTAAAACTTTTTATTATGAAAAATGTTGAATTTTCTATAAATCATCTTTTTCATCATGTTGATACATTGTATAGACCAAAAATTGGACATTCAGTTAAATATTTTACAAAAGTCTATGAGAAAATGTCGAAACTCAAAGACATGGCTGCTTCATAAATATAATATTTATCATCCGTATTTTTTCTTTTTTGTATTTATTTAAATAAAGCAATAAATATTCATTCCGTAGTATACATATAAAAATTATCTTTTCTTCGAAGATTAATATCATTTACTTTATTATCCCACCATGCTTCGTTTTATTTAATGTCACTATATGCTTATGTTTTATTTTGCTAAATATCGTTTTCTTTTTTTTAATACTATGTTCATTAATGATGATTAATAGATAATAATAAAATTTGTTACACAAAAAGAGCTTTTTATCGAAAAAAAAACAAACAAATTCAGGAAGGAACAAACAATAAGTGGAAAAAAATGCACACAAACGACGTAATCCGGTCCAACTGCCAAGACATATGCAAAAGCAAATAAGAAAAACAACGCTTGTAAAAACATAATGTTTTGTGTTATGGTAGTGGGCATACTTATGTAAAAGAAGTAAAAGCTATATTTGTTGAGCAATATACAGAGAATGACGTCATTTTGAGCAACGAATATGATTGTTAAAATAAATAAACAAAGTAATTACAATTGATCATCTATTTATTTATTAGTGAAACCTTGTTTCTAAAGGGGTACAATGTACTTTTGTAATTTTAATCAATTTGACCTATGTTAAGCAAATGGCAGTTAGTTGAAGTTACTTAGACCAACTTGAAGCCAATTCGAAATAAGTTAAAATATTTCTATTTCATTGTTCTTTACTACCAAAATTTAGTATTTATAGATGATTCTCTGACAGTTTTGTTTTCATGTATTCACCTGCAAGTTACGTTTTCTCGTATTTATATGGAGAGTGCGGGTGCACGTGTAAAACAATATAGTTTTCGTTGTATGAGCAATGATAGTCTTTAAAATGTGAGCAGCTAAGAATAGTATTTAAAAACTGAAACTACTGTATTTTATTTCTTATTCTCTAAAATGATTATCATCTTCAATATATATTGTGAAGAAATTTAGATAACGCTTCCTATTAGAATAATCACGTATATTTTATTTAAACACGAAATAACTATATCAAGTTATTCTCGATTCATTCTTATATGTCCATCACTACTTTTATCAGTACATAGATTGTTCTTCGTAATGATATCGACAAACGTGAGACGAGAAACGTAAGAATAAAGAAATCAAGGCAACAAGAGGAAAGATAAGAGAAGATGAAACCATTTTTTCCTTACAAGTTAAAGATAAAGAGAAATGCTTTATACATCATTTAGAAGGGTAAAGTGAATGGTGGCTCATTGATGTCTAACGTGAGCGTACTCCATTTAAGACATGAATGTGACTAATAGTTTTAATTAGTCTCAACTCATATAGAAAAATGAGAGTAATAATCAGATTTAAATAGATTAAAAAATTATTATACTCGATTAAGAATTGTGGAAAAAATATCGATTTTAATTGTTTTTTCTTCGTGATAAATGAAAACATTTTTAACCAATTTTCTTTCGATTGCATCAATTATAATCAATTTTTTTCATCGAGTTTTAATCAATTATAATCGAAATTAATCAGGATAGTCAATGAAGTTTTGATTTTTTCGACTCACTCTGGTTATAATCGGTTACAAAATGATTAAAAATAGATTAAAAGTATATTATTTTAATCTGATTTTTATGCTAATTTTTTTTTTTACATAGAAAGTCTTGGGTAATGTTGGAAATTGTGTTAGATAGTAACTATAACTAAACTGTTTCTCAGTAAGGTCCAACATTATAAATATGACCAAAAGTTGTAACTTTAGTTGAAACTTATAACAATTTCAACATTCGATCAACGTACTCTATTATGAAACTTTCAAGGACACACTAAATATATGTTCAATACAAATGATTGTAATTTCCACATTTTGTTCGTAGTTGTTAACATAAAAAAGCTGTTAGTGCAATCTCTGCAGAATCAAAATGTGAAACACGATGTAGCTACTCTTGGTAATTACAGGGAATTGCTGTAATCTATCTCTTTCGCGACACATTCCAAAACTATCCTTTTACTTATTCCTCCAGAAGTGGAATCAGGAAATGATTCGTGTACTATATTAAGACTATATTGATTTACGGTCTTTGATCGTATATCAAAAACGTCTTGCACCATCAGTGGTAAGACCGCACGTCATTTGTCACGGTCTGTGATAGGATTCCAGGTTGTCTTAATAATTATTTTTCAAAAAGTCAATAATTAATTAGTGATTAATTAGCTATTGATTAAATATTAGTTAGTTATTAATTAAAATGTTTGTCACAGTCTGTGGAAGCGGGAAGAGTACGTTCAAATTTCTACCCTATCTACTTCAACACTCCTTTTAGATCGTGTTTTACAAAAAACTTAATGCTGCAAGTAAAGAATGCATCGCTTCATTCACAGGCAACGAATAACTACGAGAAAACGCAACTTACAAACGAATACATGTATAAATCTATCAGAGAATAATCTATAAACAGTAAGTTTTTGAAGTAAGAAACAATGAAATACAACTATTTTAAATTAACAATGTCAGTTAAATCAAAATAATTACTGTTTCAACTTAATTAAATCTACTCAAAAAATTCAAAAAGTTAATCAAGTTAAAATAGTTCATAGTTATAACTACAGTTGATAGTTATCATCCAAGTTATAATCACTTTAGCTTTTTGCTGTCTTTCTCAACTATCAACTTTTTAAAAAAAAAACAGCTTTAACTATCACACTGATGTGAAGACATAGTTGAATAGAATTCTTTGATAAAATTTTTCTTATAAAATATGAGGAATAATAGGCTTAACATTATTAAACAACATTTTGTCACATCAGACAATACAAAAAGATAGATGCCATCAATTATCTCTCAAATGCAGTATATTTTACAATTAGAAATTTTATTTTTTTTCTACTAATAAACAGAACATTATACAGTGTAACCCAAGGATCATTACTATACGATGAATATCATTGTAGATAGTGAAACTAGAGCATTGTCCTTCTTCGTTTTGTTAACATATCAATTCAATTACAGTTTATGAAATTACAGGTATTTACAAAAAAAAATAAAATAGCAAGAAAAATATCGCCAGAAATAGAAAATTTCATGTTTATTGCTCAGAAGATGACGATTGATTGTCAGTTGGTAGAATTAGCCGTTCAGATCGTACTTCAAATTTGAGATTAACATCAGTTTTTGTTTCATTATCATTATCTGGATCATCAATGATTGTATAATTTGACATTATAGATTCTTGGATAGATTTTTCATGACAACGGTCACATAAACGATGTTGAGAACTTAAAGCACATAAATTCTTTTTTTAGAAGTAGAAAAAAAAAAGAAATATATACAAACTTTGGTGTCGGACCTTCTTCCCAATGATTTGAACAATAGTAACAAAATATCTGATGACAATGACGACAACGATACTAGAAGAAATAAATTTTTATAAAAGAGAATCAATTGAAGAATGTTTATTGACATACTTTCTTCAAAGTCCATCCAAATTGTGTTTCACATTTTGTACATTTATGAACATCGTCTTCATGCATCCATTGCTTTGATTGTTCTTCCTCCAGTTTAACTTCATATGAATAGATTGAATTAAATAGATCAGCTTTTTCACTAAAATCGAAATCGAAATTTAAAAAATTAAAATAGATTATAGATATTTTTGTACCGAACAGCTTTAATTAATCTACGTTTCATTTCTTCAAAATCTAGTGTTTTTTCTTGTAAAGAAGCTTCAAGTTGTTCTTGAATTTTATTAAGTTCTGCCTACAAGAATAACATATGATATGAAAATTCTTTTCCATTTTATCCCTACCCGTTCTTTTTCAAATTGTATTCGTTCATCGTTAAGCATTTTTGTGGTCTAAAATCAAAGTTAACTATTAACAATAAACGATGAAATCAAATTTTTTTTTTTTTACTTTTTCAAATTTCTTTGTCAAATGTTCAATTTGTTTTTCTCGTTCAATTGAACGAATCGAATGTTGTTCTTGCTATAAGATAAAAATTATTAAATTATTTTGAAAAAGAAAATAAAACACATACAATAGATTTCAGATTGTTGATTTGTTCATCAAACTTACGTTGTAACTCATTGAAAACCATATCTTTCGTTTCTAGTAAAGCTCGATATTTGGCTATTTCATGTTCATGTTCTTTAAGTTTCTAAAATATAAACAAATTTTATGAAGATTTTAATTAAAACTATTCTTATAAAAAATTAATGGGTAGAAAGGTTGAATTTTAAAAGCAAGAAAAATTTATAAATTTAATTAGGATGAGTTTATATTATTCGAATAAAAACTAAATTATATTAGACAGAAGGAAAAGATGAATAAGAAAAAATTCTATATTTTCATCAATGATATTTTGATTTTTAGATTTAATGTTACTGAAAATTATATTTGATTTCGTTCTACTAACAAAGTTGATAAATGCTTTGAATTTTTCTGTTAATTTAGAATTGTTTTCTTTTTTTATGAATAGAAATTTCTTCTCTTACATTTTCTATTGTTGAATGTTGAATCATAAAAGTCGAAAGTTGAAAATTAAGATTATTAACTTCATGTTGTAATACATCTCTTTGAGATTTTATTTTTTCGGTTTCACTTATCAATATACTTTCATCGATTAATTTTTTATTATCGATTGTTTGAGTTATCTGATCATGTTTATCTATTGAACATTGAGTTTCAACATTATTCATATGTAACTTATCATGTTTAGACTGTAATTGAAGTTCTAATTGTTGATAGCTATAAAAAGAAAATTTCAATTAAAATGAAAATTCTAAACAAAAATAATTAATTACCGATCTTTCCAATAATCTAAATTATTTTCTGGATATTCATCAATAGATGAAATTGAATAAGCTGAACTATCATCATTTATAGATATTTCAAGATTCTAAAATAAAATATATATATCTTGTTTAATTAAATATTATAATATTTTACTTGAAATGATGATGGAGTTATAGGAGAAGATGAAATCATCAATTGTGAAGGAAGACTGTCCTAAAATAGAATTTTATTTTCAAAACAAAAAAATAAAAGAAAGAAATTTTTATTTTATACCATTGATAAGAAACTAGATATACTATCTGTACGTAATCGTGATATGACGTCAGGTGAAAATTTTGAATGACAATCAATTGATCTATACAAAATAATCTTTAGAAAATTTTGACAAAAATAAAAAAAACATTATATTACTCTGCTGTAGGCCAACAAACATCAAGTTGATAAGATAAAGTTGAAAGAAGATCAAATTGAACATCATTTAATTGATATAGTGCTTGAATAATACGATTCATATAGATTGATTTTGTCCAAAAACATTCATCATTATAAAATTGTCTGAAATAAAAAAATTTTTGTATTATTTGTTTTGTTTTTTTTTATATTTTAAATTAGCTTTACTTCACAAGTTTAGTCATCATAAAACTTTGTTGTATAACATCACCTAAACGATGATTTTGTAAACAAAAACGAAGAAATAAACGACCACGACCAATAGAAGTTTTTACATCTTGTGTATTAAGAACATATAATACTGTATCATATAAACCTTTACTTTCTTTAAGTGCTAGGACAAAAAAATTCCAATAATTTCGTTTATTATTTAGTAATGATCTTCGGTCTACAAATAATTATTTTAATCATAAGAAAAATTTCAAATAATCTTTTCATTTATACTTTTTAAATCAATTTGTAACAATTGTTCAAGATGTTGAAAAAATATTTGTAAATGCGTATTTGTATCATCAATAGGTGTTGTTTGTGAACGATCAATATCATTATTGGATATTGTAAATTCAGAATAAATTGTATTTGCTTTATCTAATATTATATACTATATATTTTGTTGAGATATCTTTATTTTATTTAAATTACCTTCGATTACTTGAATCGATCGTAATATAGAAGTTAATTTACGAGTATCTTGTACTGACATTTTAAGTAAATCACAGATAAAAAACAACTCATGTGCTTTAATGTTGACTCATTATGTGCCTTGATCGCTTCTCATTGGTGATCAATGTTATCAATAAGAGGAAGTATGAGGTCACTACTGATGCGGATGAATACTGTATGCACACAATAGAATAAGACACATGTTACTATTAGATGAGAAGAATTATCATTACGTTACTAAGTAACTAATAACGGACAAATTCTCATACATAAGCAAAAGAAAAACGGTCACTCTTCATCACCGTAGCGATAGTTCGTTACTTTTAAATAACATTATACTATTACATAATGGTTTTGCTTATTAAAAACAGAGTCTATATTATTAAGAATAAATTCTATTTTTTTAACTTTCTAGCTACAATTATATTTACGAACATCTTTACATTTTAATTATAGCGCCCTCACTCTCATATAGTACTGTGTGCGTATAAATCACACCAATCAATATGAAAACGTGATAAAGGTAAAGGTGTGCCGATATTTATCATGGGATTCAATGCTGATTTGAGTATGTCTGTCGAGTTTAAAGATTTATTCATATTTTAGAACTATCCTAATTCTTTATAAAGTTCAACGAATATTTTGAAAATTTTGTATTCGAGAATGGATATTTCTGATACACACATCTTTCACCATCACACATTGCTATGCCAATCAATGCGTTCATAGAATGCGTATAATCCGAAGAAGAATCGAAGAATGCTTTTGAGTAGAGTTTTTAACAAAGTGTTTTTTTATTGTGTTTATATAAGTCTTAATAGATACGCAAAACGCTAAATAGACCTTGAGTATGAGCTAAAGTTTTTATTATATACCTTAAACAAATGGTAATGAAAGCATAGAGTAGTTCGTCACAGTTCATTGAACATTTATCTTCATTATTAATCTTTCTTATTTATTTTTTTTTTCGATCGCCACATCCAACATACAAAAAAAAAACCTATGGGAAATTCAAAAAGTACTCGGAAATTTTTGGAATTGAGACGTTTAGAAGAAATTACTGGTATACCTCGACAGCAATTTTCAAACTTGCATGACGAGTTTAAACGTAAAAGTGCTGATGAAAATGAAGTTCTTGTGGATAGAAGTGATTGTCGTCATTTTATTAATCAAGTAGGTGTTGGTGCTTATAATCAAAAACTAGTGGATAATGCTTTTGGATTTTTCTTATATGATGGTAAAATGACTACTGAACAACTTTTTTCTTGTGTGGTTATGTTAAGTGAAACAATGGATGGTATTGAACGGCTTACTTATATTATTGATACACATAACCCTAAAGGTGCTGATGAAAATATGATTACACGTAGATATGGTAGAAAGATTTTGAAACATATTAATGAATTTTTTGATATTAAAAAAACTGCTCCACCAGCACAAGTTTGGATTCAAATGTGTGGTGGAACTGACAAAGAAGAATTAACACGAGATCAATTCATAAAATATGTTAGTACAACAGCTCCATACCGCGACTTTTTAGTTTGAGAAAAACTAAAATTTATTTTCTATGCTAGTTTTTTTTTATACTACATTTTGATGAAATAAACATATCTGAACATCGAATTATATGAAAATCTTGTGTTTTGTTTTCTTGTGTTTATATCTTCATTTTACAGAGAAGCACGACATCTATCAAGAACTTATTATTATTCCGCATAATACCAACAATATTTATTGGTACAAATATCAAACGAATCTTTGAGTTACTATATCTACCAGCATACTTTAGTGAATTTCTATTCAAGATTTTTATTTTTAAATAGTTTTCTATATTTTGTTGTCTTTGTAATACATGGCATCAGGTGATGGTGAACAATATGATGATAATTCATCAGGTTTTTTCTCTGATGACCTTGATCAACATGATACAGAACGTGATTTATATGCTATATTACATATTAATAAAGATGTATGAAATTATTTTTGAATCAATAGTTATTTATTGAATATTATATTTTATTTTTAGGCAGATGCTACAACAATTCAACAAGCTTATCGTCGATTAACTCTTCTTTATCATCCTGATAAACATATAGATCCTCGAAATAAACAATTAGCCATGGATTTATTTATTCAAGTTAAAAAAGCTTATGATATTTTAAATGATCCACAAAAACGTGCTATTTATGATGTTGTCGGTATGAAAGGTTTAAAAGCTGAAGGATGGGAGGTAAAAAATCAAATTTTATCATGATGATAATTTCATGATCATTGGATATTTATAGATTGTAAGTCGAACAAAAACAGCTCGTGAAATTCTTGATGAATATGAACGACTAGCACGAGAACGTGAAGAAAGACGTTTTAATCAAATAACTAATCCAAATGTAAATAAATTAAAATCATTTTCAATATCATTTAATTTTATATTTTTAGGGTTCAGTACAAATGTCGATAAATTTAACTGATATATTCGATCAAATGAATTCATCTGATGAGAATAGGTAATTTCAAATAAAGAAAAAAAAATAAGAATCGAGTTTGAATTCTCTTTTTTTTTCTATTAGTGATTTTTCACCAGTCATTGAAATGACTGAATTTACAGTTGCACAAAGTATTGATATACCATTAACAAGTCAAGATACAGCAACAGTAACTGCTGTAGCAACAACACATAATGGACGTGGTTCAGGATCTTTCACAACATCATTTCGTCGTGTTCTTGCTGATCTATCTTGGTTTCGTGTATGCTTTTCTTATTATTTCTTTATTTTTCGTTTTCTTTTTTTTAATAATAAAAAAATCTTAGATTGATTTAAGTTTTGGTCAACATAATCTAGCAGCATTTCGTTATTTTCGTCGTCTTACACAGAAACTGTAGGTAGAAAAAGTTTCATATATGAAATAATTTTGACGTGATTCTTTCGTCAGTTTAGCCAAGCAAGTATAGCAGCTACATTTGGCCTTGTTGATGGTGGTTCAGCTATAGCAACACCCGGTTTTATATTTTCTATTACTTATCAATTAAGTCATCATTTAACAAGTAGTCTTGAATGGAAAACAGGTGTTGATTCGTGTATGAAAAGTGGTCTTCATTATGATAATCAAACAGTAGCTGTATCAACTGCTATTCAAGTAAATATTCTTAATAAACAAATCGAACAAATGATATATTGAATAGATTCTAGCTCGGATTTGTTAATACATATGGAGTCATCGATGGATTATATCGATTCCCTAATATTTGCAACATACGATGTAGTCTGAAGTATGAAGATAGATGGTTTATATTTGGTTTTTTTTTATTTCATTTCTTTTTCTTAAAGATTGTTTATATTTGGACCATGGTTAGAATATGGTATTGATCGTCAATTAACAAAATATACACATGGTTCAGCATCAGTAGCCATTAGTTCAAGAATGGGTGTATTATTAAAATTAAAGTATGTTCATAGAAATTCAATCTGAGGACAAAAAATGAAATGTTTTAAAAAGTTTTATTCCATGTTAAATTATATCATACAAGGTGTTCGAAAGTAAGTTCTGGTAGAATTAGTCATATAGCACTTATTTATGATGTACACAGATCGATGAAAATAGTCAATGGTTGTCACATGTACATTGAAGCCGGTTGTTGATGAAAATCAGCAATTTTTATCTACCTATCTCATCAATGACCAGACTAGTTTTCGTATGGTTCGATAACATTTTTTAAAGCGCTGCAAAATGGTATGAAAACATCGATGAAAAAACACTGACTATATAAAGAAATTTCAAGGACACCACTTTTGAAACAAGATTTTGAGTCTTATTTTTTTACTGATATTCAGTAGATTTCGATAAGAAAATTACGAATTGGATGAAAACTAATATGATATTCTGAGTCAATGTCTCAAACTAAGTAGACTTACATATATTTGGAATATTTTCGGACACTTTGTTTTTTTTTTGTCGAAAACTACATCTTTAGTCCACATCAGAGTTACGTTCAAAAATGAATTTCATGAAAACTCTGTTTCTATTGTTTATTCATCTGCTTGTTGAAGTTCTATTATTGTTATATTACCTTAGAACGTGATTCCTATTGTCAATATAACTTTTCGATGAAAAAACAACATTTCCGAAAATACTTGAAATACACGTAAACCTATTCAAGTTGGAATGCTGACTCAGAATATTATATTAGTTTTCACATAAATCGGAATTTACTTATCGAAATCTACTGAATACCAGTAAAAAAAAGTTCAAAATCTTGTCTCTAGAACATTATCCTTAGAATTTCTTCGTGTGACCTCTGTTTTTTTCTCTCTATGTTTTTATACCATTTTGAAGCATCTGAGAAAAGTGCTTTCGAGCCATATGAAAATTACCCTGGTTGCTTATGAAATCTATAGATAAAACATGCTGATTGTCATCAAAAATGGCGTTTAATGATATGTGACAACCGTTGAATATTCCAATCGACCTATGAAGAGCACAAATAAGTGCTATATGACTAATTATATCAGAGCTCACTGTCGGACATCTTATGTGATAGTTTGACATAGAAGAAATTAAATTTTTCCAGGGAGAGGAGCAATTTTTAATAGCTATCCATTCTTCTTTAGTATGAATCAATGAGATAAATTCATTTAGATTCACTCGTGGCAGTCAAACATTTACATTTCCATTACAACTTTCTCAAGATATTTTACCAAGTGCTATATTCTATGCTACAATTGCACCAACTCTTGGTTATTTTATACTTGATCGTCTTATTATTCGACCATTTGCTCGATCTGAACAAGAACAGTAAAAATCGACATATATGTAATTTTCATTTGTTAAATATTTTGTTTTTTTTTTTAGTGAACAAAAGAAACGTGAAGATGAAGCACGTGAAAAACAAACTGAACGAAGACGAGAAGCAATGAATGCTCAAGAAGTACTTCGATCAGTTGTTGAACAAATCAAAGATAAAGAAGGTCCACAAGGTTTAATTATACTTGAAGCACGTTATGGTCAATTAAACTTAACAACAACACATGAAAATTCAATTAAAATTATTGATGTTACTGTACCATTACAAGCACTTGTAAAAGATTCAACATTAAGAGTAGGAACAACAGTATCAAAATCAAATTTGACCGGTTTTTATGATCCATGTATAGGTGAAGAAAAATCTTTATCTATTAAATATTCACTTCGATCACAAATACATACTGTTCTATATAAAGATACTGATCCTGTTATTTTACCTAATCGAGGTAATGAAATTTATTTATTTTAATCGATCAGAATTTAATAGTTTGTTTCTTTTTTTCTTTTTATCATTGTAGATCATTTAGTAAGCTGAAAATTTTTATTCATCAAAATTAGTTATTCACTTAGGTTAAATTCTGCTTTCTGTTTTTTTGTTTTTTGTTGATTTTGGTTCTCTTTTTCAATAAAAACGATTTACTTTCTCCTTATTTATTATCTTTTTGAAATTGAATGAAATTATTCATAACGAATATTCATTTTATTTTCTCAATATACTGCATATATTTGTTATACAAATGGATAAAGCAAGCAAGACTTACAAGGGAGCATTTCCAACTATCACATTGCTTTTGAGTCGAGCGTATGCGCATCATATAGGCTCTAATGATTTATAAATACTCTGAAAAAAGTTTGTACTACTTGCTTATTACTGCCAAGATATTGCATTTTTACTGTATGTTTAAGAAAAAAAGCCGTGGTCCTCCTCAGGAACACTAGAAAAACTGAGTTTCGAATTTCGACTCGAAACTTTGCATAGAGATAGGCCTCAATGAAAATCATTTATTGTCAAAGTTTCAGATCTTTCCGTTGTTCCTATCCTAAGATACAGCTATGATAAAATAGCTTATATACACCAGCAGATTCTAATGTTCTTATTTCAGACTAGAAGCAATTAAAAGATCTAAAACTTTCACAATAAATTATTCTTATTGACACATGTTTCTGTACAAAGTTTCAAGTTGAAATTCGAAACTCAGTTTTTTCTAATGTTTCTGAGAAGAACCACGGCCTTTTGATTATACATAAAGTAAAAATGCAATATCTCGGCAGTAATAAGCGAGCGGCACGAACTTTTTTCAGAATATTCATAGGTCATTAGGGCCTACATGATGCGCATATGCTCAGCTCAAAAGCAATGTGATAGTTAGGAATGTTCTCTCGTGAGTTCTATCATAATTCTGAATGCTATTGAAGAAAAAGCATTTCAAACAGGCGAAACACTTCCTGACGATACATTTTTATTAGTAATATAAAATGCATCGACTTTTTCTCCTGTCATTAATCTAGAAGGCTCAGAATGCATTTAGTCTGCTCAACTATCAGTTTCGTAAAAGCGTTTCGAGATCTTTTTAATATCATCTTCATTTATCGTTTCTGTGTCAAATTCGACTATTAATAAAAACTGTTTCGATTCTAATGTTTATAGGCATAAACATTTGATCGGAACTATGTTGAATAAAATTTAAAAGTACATGGAATGAGATTATAGAAAATTTATGCAACCTACTTAAACTATTCAAGAACTATTCACATTTTTTATCCTGAGAGATACTTTTGAAATACTCTGTAGAACAAGACATTCATATATTATAAAATTAATAAACAAGATTTATGAAGAAGAATTAATTTCGATATGATAGAACTTGAGATTATTTTTTCAAAGCTGAGGTTTTTTTTTCTGAGTCTTTTCTGATTGATAAAATTTTTATATTATCAATTCTTAGATTGACAAAGTTTGTATGAAATAGATAGCTATTGAATACTATTAATAAATACTTGATAAGACAATTAAAAAACAAAAAAAAAAAAAATTTATCTTCTGTTTTTTCGATTAGTTCTTCACATTGTTTTTCTATTTTACGTATCAATAGACATAAGTTCATTTTGTTGACAATCAAAAAGATATAAAAACAAAGATAACTTATTATTTATTTATTTATTTTTCTTTCTTTTCAATTGATAACAATGATTATCAATTAATATAAATTCAAATTTCATATAAACCGATTTCTGAAACATGAACATCAGTAAATACTCGTCTATAACTCATTAGTTCAATTTAATTGAAACAAATGAATAAATAATTTCAATTCGATACAGAAAAAAAAAAACCTATTAATGAATACATTTAACAATCATCAGTTACAGTATAAATTTTCCATTGAATTCCAAATAAACATCATTCGAAATCATTTATACAATATATTTTAATTTTCATTCAACTGTCATATTTGTCTCGACACATTCTTCATTTATTAATAAATTTTCACATAATATATAATCATACATAGAAATATATAAAAATCTTCTCATCTTATCTTGAACAAGCAGTTAGGTTCTATTCTTAGACATCTCAATATAAGACAATGTTCCTTTTTTCTAATCTTTTAAATAAGCAATTAAAATCTCGTTGTTTCTTTTCTCAAATAATTATGACGAATTTTCAAGAGAAAATATAAAACAAAAAAAAAAGACACCTCATAGTGTGACATTCCTAATCGATTTTTTTTTCCTTCAAATTGGATAATTACATATAAGAATGATTCGAATATAATAAATTGCTTACATAATATATATGTATATAGATAGAATCTGCTCTTTAACTAAATTTGTTTTTATCGAGAAAGATATGCATCAATTCTTCTTAGTAAATCATATAACTTTTACTGTCAATATTTTTACTTCACAGATGTTCATGTGAAATTCACACCTGTATATTGATACAAACATATAATAAAAATTTCAATATGATTATAAACTTATTTTCTCATCTTTTTTTTTTCAACAAAAATAAAAACAAAACACATGTTCATCAATACAGATGGTCAATAATTACACCATCTTAATGATATAATGATCTTTAAAATACTATCCACCTGCATATCTAAACATGCTTAAAGGTAATCAAATTCATCTCGACATATACAAAATAAACAAACAGATGTATATGAAAATAAAAAATAAAAGAATCTTTTTTTTTTCTATTGACTTTTGATTTATACAATAATAACTATGCAATCGAATGTTCATGCGTGACATAATCATCAAAAAATTTTAAAAAAAGAAAATTTTAACGCATCTTCGACAAAATCATCACATTCAAACCTGCTGTGTCAATTGCATTGCAGGAGACTTTTTTTTTTTTTGCTTTTGCTTTTTCTATATCCAATTATAACTGCAATTCACGCTTTCAATCATTGAATGAAGAGAAAGATCATCATTCTATTACATAGAATAACAATATGTAATCTCTTGTGTTGCTCATTCAATTAGAAATGGATAAGATGATAATTTGAATTTATCCCAAAAGATTTTAATATACATACATAAAAGATTAGATCATTGATTTCTTTTCCTTTTTTTCACTAAGATTAAGATATAGAAGAAAGTTTTCTATTATCATTAGAAAATTCATTCAGCAGGTGTTCCTGTCATATCAATTGAATTCTATGATTTGAACAAGTTTGTTTGAATGAAAGAAGTCATTCACTAGTTATGAAATTAATGTTCTTCAATAGACAAATACTTGAATGAAGTAATTTCAATCTAAGTAGAAAAACAGATGATTGAATAATATTTTCAAGACAATGTGATGGTTGTTTCTCAACCATGAACAAATCGAGTATTATGATAATCCCATGAAATCATATTTTGTTTGATAGAAAAGATTTGGTTATATTTCATCGATATTTTTTTATTCAATAGTTACTAAGATAGTGACAACAAAAATATTAATGTAAGTTTTTACCAATTGTTTAATTCATAAATCTTAATGCGAGAACAGCTGGGATTGGTTCGCATCCCTTCAATTTTTATGTCATGTCTACGGAAATCTCGAACTGTTATCGAAAAACTGTCTATCAAGTTTTATAAAGTAATTTTTCTCAATCACTTCGTACCAAACAGACTGCCTCCGACTGTATGTCAAATTTTTAGTCCTTTCCACTTCAAAAAATCATCGAGAACCCTAGTTTTATGAATCTTATTAAATATTCATCTAATGACAAACAGTCTTATTTACATATCGTCGTCAAATTATGTCATCGTAGCCATGATGAATGCATAATCTTTTTTTTAATTCATTAATCATATTATTTACAAGTCTCGATTGAAAGTGACAATATATATATATATTCAATCGGTCGTGCTAGCCTTCCAATCCAAGTGTGTGTTGGAGTAGCGAAGCTCAAAACCAGTTAATAGAAAACTTTTTTTTTCTGGACTTTCTACTAATGATAACACTCGTTTTAAAAATATCGTATAGTATCATTACTGTTTTGTTTTATTTCTTTCTCTTCAAAACAAGATTTCTTTAATAAATTATGTCGATGAAATAGAAAGATATCAATAGAAAAAAACATCTTTTTTTTTTTCTTCTATTTTATTCAATTAATGAGGTTTACGTCACATATGAATGAACATTGATCAAATCAAAGAGATAATTTTCATTCGATCATCATCATCATCATTATAAATATTATCTTCTCATAATACATTTTTTTTTTTGCTTATATCTTTGAACTTATATTTTTAAACCTTAAGGAAAAATTTCCGGATAAACATGAAAAATTAGAAAAAGAAAAATCGTTGTTACTTTGATAAGATGATATTTCTTTCTTCTCTCTCATATCACAATATTTAAAAGAAACAAGTAGCTTGTTCATTTGATCAATCAAACGAATTCATAGTGTGAATTTCAAAAAGAAAAAAACAAAAGAACTTTTATCGATAAGATTAAATCGAATTCTTGGAAATTAGCCAGAATATCATTTTAACATCCTTATTGGTTGCATGTTAGAGATTCATGCAATAATATATATATATATATATATCGAGAGAGAGAGAAAAAAAAAACAAAATAGAAAACGAGAGAGAAAAACATACATGCATTAGATATTCGTCGTTCGAAAAAAAAAAAGAGGAACAAATATATAGAGGAAACGACGACAAATATAGACGAAGTAGTGTGTATGTGTATGTTCGTATAATTCTTATTGTCTTGATATTAGTGCCTTGATATTTCACTACAATTATGTATATTCATTCAACAAATCAACATTCATCTTGTTGTATGCATAATATGATTACATCAATTGTTATTGATAAATATTCATTATCTGTAAGTTATTAAAAATCTTTTGAAAAAGAAAAAAAAAAAATATTAAAAACAACTTTGTTTTTATTTTAATAGAATATTTCATCAACAAAAATTTATTCAAAAGTTGTTGGTGGTCCCGTTTTACATACAAATTCACAACCTATAACAACACATACAACAACAACAACAACAACAACAACAACAGCAGATAATAA